ACCACAGCCTTCAGTATGGATTACACCTCAACATAAAGAAAACAAAAATCCTCACAACTGGACCAATAAGCAGCATCATGATAAACAGAGAAAATGCTGACGTTGTAAAGGATTTCATTTTATTTGTATACACAATCAATGCCCATGGAAGCCATAGTCAAGAAATTAAATGACACATTGCGTTGGGCAAATCTGCTGGAAAAAGACCTCTTTAAAGTGTTAAAAAGAAAAGATGTCACTCTGAGAACTAAGATGAGCCTGACACAAGCCACGATATTTTCAATTGCCTCATATGCATGCCAAAACTGGACAATGAATAAGGAAGACCAAAGAAGAATTGATGCCTTCGAATTACGGTGTTGACAACGAATATGGAATATGCCAGGGACTGCCAAAAGAACGAACAAGTCTGTCTTGGAGGAAATATAGCGAGAGTGCTCCTAGGAAGCAAGGATGGTGAGACTTTGTCTCACATACTTAGGACATGTTATCAGGAGGGACCAGTCCCTGGAGAAGGACATCATGCTTGGTAGAGTAGAGGGTCAGTGAAAGAGAGGAAGACCCTCGATGAGTTGAATTGACACAGTGGCTGCAATAATGGGCTCAAACATAGCAATGACTGTGAGGATGGAGCAGGACCAGACAGTGTTTTGTTCTGTTGTACCTAGGGTGGCTACGAGTCAGCACCAACTCAATGGCACCTACAATTACAACTAGAAATAGATCTGAACTGTTAAAACTAAAGAACAATATATAAGATGGAGGAGAGTTTGGGCCTCAGCAGAGCTTCTTATTATACGATTATAGTCTACTCATTATAAACAGATTCTGGTCCTATGTATTTTGGGTCCAAAGTTTACTTTGCTCAGGGGACTAACTCACATTAACCAAAATCACAGGAGATAAATGTATGAGCCAGGAAATCAATATATTCATTTACTAAGATACCGAAACCTATCATGATGTCCTGAGTACTCAGGATAACTAGTCGTAGAGATGTATGCACCAATCCTAGCTTTTTATTTCTCCCTTCTCCTCTATATTCTATGCATCATTATCTCCCTGCAAATACCATATTTTTATGCAAATACTGTACACCTTCTCCATTGGTTTGCCAACCTCACACTTCCCCCCATAAGCCCTGCTATTCCATTTTTTTTTACATGTTGCTGTAAAAAAATTAGCATAGCTTGCTTATGAAGATACCTTGTGAGGGAAGGGCACAGTTGGCAAACAAACGTATAAAGCACACCTTATTTGCCTAAAAATGCAGTATACCTGACTCACTTAGTGGAAACTTGAAAGCAACTTATTTTCAAACCGTTTCCTAAGGTGCATTACTCCACGTATCACTACATGAATCCTGCTTAGTGGCTATTTACCAGTTTCACTCGCAGATTGGACCTTTTCCCCTATTTAGGGGGACACCTTAACTGTGCTAAAAAGAGATACAGATGACCTAAGTCATAGAAGAAAAAAAATGGCATTGAAAAAAGAGGATTGACTAATGAGATAGCAAGAGATGAAGAGCCCTGAAGAGAGATGTATACATCAAATGAAAATGATATTTCCCCTGATGTTAGAATCTAGATTGCCGGCCAAGAAAATTAGGTAATTGGAATATTTACAGAATCACTGTGTTTATGTTTGTGGTCCATAAACAAATTAGTACATCATCCTGCATGTCTGAAGTATATGAACCTCTTGAATATACTTATAAAACATCTGCCACATATGCTATGTCTTCTTCAGAATTAGGTAAAAACTTTCAAATCCATCAAAAAGTAAAATTTATTGGGCCAGGAGATTAGAAGGACAATTTCAGGTGGACAAGATTTTCAGGAGAGACAACAAAGTTAAACCTTAAAGTGAACAAAAGTTACTTTTAATATTAAATCTGAGTGATTTCATGAAAAGTTATCTATTGCAAAGTATCCTACCACAAACCAAAGATTTGGACAGTAAAATATATTTTAAATTCTGAATTTTAGCCAAATTCTATGTAGAGGCTCTCTTCTAGTATATCATACTACAAAATAACCTTTCCCATCAGTGCCCTTTATTGTGTTCATCTCGTCCACCAGAAAAAAATGTAAGCTCCCCAAGCTAGAAGGTGCACCTTATTCTTCTTTTACCCCTTATTACCTAGTGTCTCCAGAATGGGCTATGCACAGAGAGGTGAGCAAGGCAATCTACTGGAACATAGGAATAAAATATTAGAACTTCTATTAAATTATTTAATCTCATCCTCCTACTTATTAAATATATTTTATAATGCAATATAATATTTTATTTATAAATATACCTTAATTGTGTGTGCGTAAAGAAAATTTTCTCATTCCATTCTTCTACTCATTAAATATATTTTAATGAGATATAATATTTTATTCATAAATATACCTATTCTGGGAGTGCATAAACAAAACTTTCTAATTAATAGGTGTCCGTGACTGAAACATAGAGACCACTGCCTTATGGAAACCAGTATAAGAAAAAAAGAAAAAAAATTATGAAATAATGTGCTGACTGGATTATTGCATGCCAATAGTGTAGCTGCAGAGAAAATGAAATGAGTGCCCTGGAGATTCAACTCATTCTTTCATTCAGTAATTATGCATTGAGCACCTGTTATATGCCAGAGGCTGTGCTGGGCAGCAGCTACCAGAGAAGTGGTTGGGTTGTTAAAAATAGAGTGATGTGACAGTAAATCTAATAAATCCAAGACCATTTTCTCCACCTGGGATTGTCTTTCCCTTTGCTGAAAATGCTGTGATCCCTTATCTTCAGGTAAGGACATCCCTGGAGGAACCCCTACCATTTCCATATTATTGAGGAGCTATAATCTACACGGTGGTCACTCAGTGAATACTTATTGGCATACTGCACGTGAGATGGCCAACAGTGCAAAATAATAATAATAATAAATTAATTCAAAGGATTCCATTATTTCTCAGAACTGTCAAGTGAATATATTTTTCAGTTATATGAGCTAGGATCCCAAGAGATTAAATGCACATCCATACACAGTTGCTGTGAGCAGCAAAGAATACTTTCTCACTATATCTTGTCAACCACCCTAACAGATACCTAGGGCTCCCTGGATGCTGCATTCACATGTTTCCATATAATTACATAGATACAGATAAATAGAGTAAGATTGTGATACAAAACCAAGATGACAGTTATCTCTGAATTTAATATACAGGGAGAGAAATTCTAATTTGCAAATTGCAAACTTAATGTTTCCATATGATTAGGAATAATGTGATAAGATAACACTAGTTCGGTTTTCCTTTTCAGTTTTTTTTTTTTTTCCTTTAAGAACATTCACAGGGCTTGCTTTAGTCATGTGATTTTCTGTCTTGCAGACATCTAACTGAATACATCATAATGTTGTAATGCACGTTGTGTCTACCAAGGCAATGTTTTAGCAAAACCCAATCCCTGTTTAAACAAAAATGACCTTCTCCCTCTGTATTAAAATTATGATCCAAAGGAATAGTTGGAAGTGTTATACTTGTCACCAGTATTTCCCATGACTGTAATTAAGACACTTGAGCAGATTCGACTCTCTTCAAAAGACCCACAGAAAGTCAAGGAAAGTCTATTGCTATATAGACCACAGGGTTAAAGCATGTGGTTGATTTGATCACCTTACTAGATGGAGGAGTAGGAATTAGTCAACCAGTTCGAGTTCTGCTCCACTCAGTCTGGGCACCAGTAGACAAGGGCTCGCAGCAGAGGATCATTGTCTTTCTTGGCTCACAAAAGCTGCCGGAAACAATTCCTGCTATAAAGCACTATAAGAAGAGATAGAGAATTTTGAATGTCATTGACTTTCCTCCGACATTCTTTATTCAGTATGCCTTGCAGAAACTTTTGATAGATTCTTCACTGCCTAATAGCCTTATTCTATTTAACCCTAGAAATCGAACCCTATCTGATTTAGATTTCAGTGTTAATATGCAAATACATTGTAATAATATATTATTATGTAAGTTAATGATGAATTAAGTTATCTAAGGTGAAGTATTGTGTTAGTAAAAATATAAAGCCATTTTCCAAGAATGTAAGCATAAAATTTCAACATACCCTAACATATGTATACAAAATATTGAATGGGTGTGGTGAAAATAATACGACATAAAATACGTCCAAAGTTATTTAGTCTTAAACTCTGAGTCACAAATTAAAAACTCTAGTAGTCTAACAACATAGTCCTGAAGAAAGAAAAAGTGGAAACAAGCCAACTTAGGAACTGATTAAGTATTCAGCAGAGAATTTTTTTTGTGGCTCTGTCAAAAAGCTCTGTCAGTGCATTTAACTAACTGGACAAAAGGTTGTTGAAATCACACAAAGGATTTTCCCAACTCAAAAGCTTGAGATGAAATGATAGTCACATAGCAGTACACCAGATTTTCAAAGCTTAATAAAGGCCCTGTCTATTCATTTCATGGCTTTAACTTGCTAGCAGAATAGGAAACAGATATAAAACAAGCATAAAGAAATCTCTTTAAGAATGGAATTCCTGTTTCTATTTTACATACTTACTTAAAGGCACACATTCAGGAATAGGGCAAGGTCTAGGTCAGACACAAAGAAGAGATGTGAGCAGGTTCTTTCGCCCAGTGTAAGAATAGCTTCATTTGTATGAGGCCCAACAAGTTTCGTTATGTGAAAAGTAGGCAAACGTTTTTGTGTTAGAACATTTGTAAAGAGTGATAGATCCGCAGCTTATCAGAGTAGTCTGAAAACTTACAATCAAACTGACCACGTATTCAAATTTGGGTAAGGCCAAAAAAGGAAACAAAAAGGCTCCATGTATTTAATGCCTTTTTGATAGAACTGTTTTACTTTCATAGATCAATGGATACAATGGCTTTACTCAGCTTTAACTCAACAACAGAAGAGACAAACAATAGGTTAATTTGCCTCCTCGTCAAAAAAAAAAACAAAACATCTTGCGATCAAGTAGACTCTGACTCATAGCGACCCTATAGGACAGAGTAGAACTGCTTCATAAGGTTTCCAAGGCTGTAATCTTTACGGAAGCAGACTTCCACATCTTTCTCGCACAGTACAGCTGGTAGGTTGGAACCACTGACTTTCAGTTACCAGCTGAGAGCTTAACCACTGCACCACCAGGGCTCCTTGCTTCCTCCTGGTGGGTGTAAATCCTGCGATCTTCCTGCTGTGAGCTGCACTCACTCTGTAGTAAAATCATGTTGTTGTTGGCGGCTGCCATCAAATCAGCTCCCTGCACGACCGAACAAAACCTGGTCCTGTGCCTTCCTCATGATCATTTGTAGATGGGATCATTGTGGCCCACAGGGTTTGCACTGGCTGACTTTCAGGAGGTAGATTACCAAGCCCTTTCTTTCTAGTCTGCCTTACTCTGGAAGCTCTGCTGAAACCTGTTCAATATCATTGCAGCACAAAAGCCTCCACTGACAGGTGGTGGCTGTGCATGAGGTGCATTGGGGGGAATCGAACCCAGGTCTTCCGTATGAAAGGCAAGGACTCAACCACTGAATCATCAGTGCTCCCCTATAATAGAATTACAGAAAGTTCCAACTGGAAAGGACTTGGTGACATCTAAGAGAGAGATTTTTAAACTATGTTCTATAAACTCAGTTGTACACGAGAAAGGGAAGCTAGAGAGCAGCAGAACTCCAAAAGCTGGCCTCTGGAGGATCATATCAGCTCTTCTTTTATGGGTTTAAATATGAGGGAATCCATGTAATAAGATATTACATGGAGTAATAGGTGTTCTGCTTATTTTTTAAAAAAATCAAAAACGTCTTCATTTTATAAAAGAGAAGACAGAGACTCGGGGAAACTACTTTCTCAAAGTCACAAAGCTAGTTGGAGACAGAACTAAAGCCTGGACTGGTCCAAGCTCTCCCCAGTGAGGACCCTGTGTGAGGAAGAGGACACTTCCATTTAAAGGTGTTACACCTTCAAAAATCACAGGGATTAAGACTTAGCAGAGACCCTCTAATCCAACCTCCTAGCCAACACAGACATCTTTCAATATGATCCATGACAGCCTCCCATTGCCTAACTCCAGAGCCAGGATGAGCAATTCCTCATGAAACAGCATATTCTAGAGTGGGGACACTTTTAATCTAAACATGATTTCAGATGTTGGGGGAAAAAAAGCCAAACTCTATTTGGAACTTTTCTTCTTTAGTCTGAAACCTGAATTTATGGGCCAAACAAAGGCATAAGAAATGCAAAACCATCTCAAATGCAATTTTTCAGTGTTTGTATTTAACACATTGAGGTAAAGTATCTCTCTTCTACACACCCATGAAGTCCAGTATATCAGTTAGGAATGCTCTCAACTGCAAGTCACAGAGAATTCAACTCACCGTGGCATAAACCAAAAGTATGATTTTTGGTTTTCTTATCAAGCAGTTTGGAGATAGGCAGTCCCAAATTGGGTTTAGTGGCTCAGGCTCCTTTGCTTCTTTGCTTTGGTTACGTTCAGAGTGTCATCAATATCTCCTCTCATAGTCACCAAATGGCTGCCACAATTCCAAGTTTCACATCCTTAATCAAACGTAGCCCATTGAAGAAGCAACAAAAAAAAGGGGAAGGGAACAAATAAACAATAACATAAACAACAACTGATCTTTCTTTTTAAATGCTCTTCTTACAAAGACGAAGGTCTTTGAAGGCCTTTTTGAGAACTCCCAGTAAAATTAACTCCTCTTACGAGTCAGTGACCAGAACTAGGTCACACATCCACATGCAGACTAGTAACAGGAAAAGGAAAATGAGATTATCATGATTGATTTAGACAAAGTATAATTCTTCTCTTGGGACTGGGCGGTAGCTGCCCAAACAAAACTGAGATTCTGTTGTTATGGAAGAAGGAGGAACTAATTGCTGTGTGGAGAACAGAGGTTGCCAACCTCACACCCAGTATACATTTATACTCTTTACCTCATATATAGCAGACATTCCTGGTGCCCTACCCATACCTCCTCTGCATTGACTGCTTCCATATACACTGACTTCTAACTGCAAGCACTGCATCTCTCTGCCTGGAGGTTTCCTCTACCACAGAAACATGCTTGGCCCTGCCCAGGGTAGGTCAGAAATGCCAGAGAGTTAATGTCCCTAAGATCAACACTCAACCAATGATGGACATGGACTGGAGGATAAATATTCCAGCTTCCTTTCCTTTTGGATGGGGCAACATCATCTACCAAAGGTTCCCAGAAGGACTGAACCCCAGTTGCCCACAGCAGTAACCTGATCATTACCACTCTCTATATTGACTTCTTTCCCTTCATTCTCCTACTGGTGCTTCCTAGGATCAACTCTCTAATAAACTACTTAAACTCAAATCCTGGTCTCAGTGTCCATTCCTGGGGGAAACCAACCTAAGACACCATACACACAATAAGTGAACTATACCTCAAGGCAGATATCACAAAAGCCTAGCCCAGTCACAGAAAAATAGATCTAAATTTAGCATTTATACATGTTGGGTATTCCATTCTACCAGGTGCATATATGGGCCCTTGTGGTCTGGAGAGATATAGCTAAAAAAAGGTATCTGACCTCACTATACCCAATATATTATAATAAAGAACAAGTAGGATGACATCAATAAGAACGCTTATTCAGGAAAGTGGAGGATGGGTCATGCTCAGGAATGGCTGGTTCTTAGCACACAAACTGATGGGTAGGAGTAGCGACGATCCTCTGCCTTGGAAGTCCGTACAGTTTCTTGTTCAGCCTACCTAGCACCTCTGGTTTTTTGCTTCTTGGAGCTTCTTCTTGGCCCGTTAGTCTTTGCAGTCATACACCTGTTGCTGTCGAGTCAATTCCGACCCTATAGGACAGAACAGAACTTCTCCATAGGGATTCCAAGGAGCAGTCAGTAGATTCAAACTACTGACTTTTTGGTTAGCAGCCACGCTCTTAACCACTGTGCCACCAGGGCTCCTTGTAGTCATATATGAGGTGGTATTTAATAATTATGCCCTATCTAGAAATTCACAGTTCTAAGCTCCAACTTCCTCTTGGTCCAAGGTCAGAGGCCCAAGGACTGGCTTAAGTATTGAACAGTCACAAACTATTGGTGGATACACTATGGGTTTATTTGACAAAAATAATTTAAAAAATAGTCAATGGTGCAGTGGTTAAGAGCTCAGCTGCTAACCAAAAGTTGGCAGTTCAAATCCACCATCTGCTCCTTGGAAGTCCTATGGGGTAGTTCTTTTCTGTCCTACAGGGTCGCCATGAGTCAAAATCCACCAACGGCAACAGATAATTAAACCAAAACCTAACCCACTGCTGTCAAGTCAATTCCAACTCATAGTAACCCCATAGGGTTTCCACGGCTATAAACCTCTATGGAGGCAGACTGCCATATCTTTCTCCAGTGGAGCCACTGGTGGTTTCAAACTGCTGAACTTTCAGTTAGCAGTCCATTACTTTAACCACTGTGCATAATTAGTTACTGTCACTTTCATGCCTAGAAGCACCTTTGAATAAATTGCTTAGGCATTGTTTTTAAGCTGGTCATATGGATTGAATTGTGTCCCCCAAAAATACGTGTTGTAAATCCTAACTCTATGCCTGTGGCTATAATTCCATTTGGGAATGGGTTGCCTTTGTTATGTTAATGAGACAGGTTTGGTGTAGGGTTTGTATAAAAGGAGCAGATTAAGGAAACAAAGATAGGGGAGGATAGGTGGCACACCACATGAAAGTCACCAGGGAACCAAGAAACAAGGACCTTTCCCC